CTGCTGGTTAGCCAGTTGGTCCCCATTCTGTATCGGTGCATGGAATTGCTCTGTCCCAAGTGTAGGACTTTGCACTTCTCCTTGTTGAACCTCATGAGATTTCTTTTGGTTCAATTCTACCAATTTGTCAAGGTCTCTCTGAACCTTAGCCCTACCATCCGGTGAGTCTACTGCTCCCCCCAGTTTGATGTCAGCTGCAAACTTGCTGAGGGTGCATGCTATCCCATCTTCCAAGTCATTGATGAAGAGATTGAACAAAAGTGGCTGTAGGGCTGATATTCCAGTCAGCCTGAGAGATGTTTCTTCCACCACATACCTACATTTTTATTCTTCAAAGCCTAAGGGCTACTTCTCTTAGGGTGCTTCTATACGTTGCTGAATGGTGACATTGCTATTGCGGCACATGGGTAGATTTCACTGCCGCATTGCTGTAGTGGCACGCTATACCTATACATAGTGGCACCTACATGCTATACAGCGATGTAGCTAGCAATCATGTGTAGATGCACACAATCCCTACGTCACCATAGCACACCGTTATAGTGATGTAACGCATTGCTACATAGCTATAGGGTGATGTGTAGATGTGCCCTTAGATACCGTCATTTGAAAATACAGCTCCATGTGTTTAGTAATTTAAACTAGGATTAAGGCCTACTTAAAGCTCATTAAAATCCACTGAAAGATTCCAGAGGATTTTTTTAGACCCATATTTCCTGGAAAATGAATTCCTCAGGAATTATTAAATAGTTAATATTACTTTCAATTGTCCTTTGTTTGACCACCAGAAACAGACCTGTATCTCTCATCAGTAACTGAAGAATTATATAGCCTCCAGAAAGACTGGCACAGTATAGCATAAAGCACTGAATTAGAAGATGTTTCAAGAAGATGGATTTAATGCATTTCAGCAGCTGCCTGTGACCATGCCAGATGAGATATTTGATGACTTATAAATCACCTGATGACTTACAGACCACACAACTTGATACACCTGTACATTTTATAGCCACAAACTGAAATTAGGCACATGGTTTGCCCTGACTTGAAGATATTGCAAGCAAGTCAGTCCCATTTAAACCTGGGTAGACATAAACCTTAACTGCCAGTAAGCTGGAACAAAAAATGGGCAATGCAGCAGAAATATCCTGTAAATACGTCTTCCATTTCATCTATAACCAATATCTATATGACTAAAAGCACCTAAAGCTTTTATGAAAATAACTGCAAAATGGAGGGGGTATATTGGAGAAATGGCCCTAAAAAACAAACAAACAAACAAAAAACCACCAGAAAAATGGTATGTAAGCAGAGAAAAAGGTACCTGGTTATCATTCACCTTTTAGGAGTGGCTTATGGGTACTTACACACCCACTGTAATATTGGGAAAGAGAAAGACAGAGAAAGGGTAAGGCTGAGCAGGTCTTGAAAAACTCATCTGGTTAGGAAACTAGCAACATCTGACCTAGAAAAAAATCCTTCTGGATTCTAGCAAGAGCCTGACACAAAGTCCAGGCAACAAGGTTTTGTATTGCCTTGAGTGACCTGTATATCAGGCTCTAAGGAGGGGCTTTTCTTGCCAGGAAGAACTGATATTCAAATACATCTCTTACCCAGGCAAATATGTCCCCCACCCTCAGGCTCCACCTTTCCATTTGTATCTATAATTGTTTACGAATATGCAATAATGTTTAGAAGCCTTTATTCAAGAAGGGTGCTTCCACAGAAGAATACTATACAATCTAGACTTTTGTAGTAAGAACGGTAACCTGGCAGACCTGTAATTGCCTTGTGATCTAGACTGCTGCACATATAAACCATGTTCAGCTATTCTTGTTTGCTTTTCCTTTGCTGGGCCACAGAAAGCAGCATTCTTTTATGGTGCCAGGCTTTATTTTAATTAGGTTTTTATGTCATTCTTTAACTAATGCATTGTTTGGAACATTCTTTTTCAGGAACCCAGTCCCATTGAAAATAAGGAATAATGTTACAAGCTATTACTCTATAACAGCACAACTGATGAGAATTCATAAACTGGTCAAAGAAAAATATCACTGCTATAGTTTTCCTAATCAGAAAACTGCAATATAAATATGTAATCTTGGTCACCTAAGCTACAGGTATGATAATGGACAATGATTTGACCTTTCTACCAATCTGTTTATGCTCTGAAGAAATGAACAGCAGCATAGTAAATAGGCTGCTATTATACCCTTTTTATTACTTTGTTACTTATTTTATAATGCAATAATTTATGCAAGTTATAAAGATGCCATTATTGCCATTTATGTTTTAAAATTTTAATATAAACCAACATACATTTAATAATCCGCCTTCTTATTTCAAATTTATGTAAGGATCTGACTAAACTAATCATGAAAGCACATAAATGTTACGAAGACAGGTATATAAGAAATGATAAACAAAACTTTGACACCTTCTGAAAAAAAAGTCTCTGGTGCTCTTAATTTTCTTCAAGTTCCCTTGAGCATAAAAGACACCATGTGTGAAATATAATTTCTTTCTCCAAAATGCCCCTTAAGACTTTTATTGGGAATGGAACGGGGAAGATAGGGATAATGTCAAACACTGTGCCTTGGGTAGGCCTGTGAGAAATAGTTTCCTGTTTTCTTAGTTCAGCATTGCACGTTTGTTTTTGGTTGATGCAAGCAATCTTGGGTAATGAACTACTCTACTAATTGGAGAACTTGGGACCAAGCCAAATCCTTTGCTACAGAATATTGCTGGAGTTTTAGAACTATAAATTTACTGGGTTCACAAGCTGAAATCATGCAAAGTATAACTAAAGTATAACTAAAGCCCTAAAGTTACACACAGCTGGCTTGCCAACAAATGTTATTTGTTGGCAGAAAAAGTACATATGGAAGAAGAGGTGCAATGTTGAATTAAAACAGGCATTTCTCTCTCCAAGTTGACCTATTGTGTTAAAAAAGTAAGATTTAATGATAGCGAAAATAAAACATGAATTTACTGGAGTTTTCAATGTTATGGTTCCCCTCCCTTATGAACCCAAAACTAAAATGGTACTCAATGGGTATATCTACAAGTGTGCTTTAATGCATAGTAGCTTATTTTACTGTTCATTAGAGTATCACAACAAAAACCATGCCGATATGCTAATGCACAGTAAAATTAGGCTACTGTGCATTGAGTCCCTAAAAAAAAAAAGGGGTGCTTTCACTACTGCACATTAGGACAGCCTTATGTGCATTTAGTTAGTATCTCCAGGCACCTATACACAAGCACAGAGGCTGCTCCAACATACTGGAATTCCAGTGGTTGGAGCAGACTCAATTAATCAAGTCTGCTGGAGCATGGTAATTGCCTAGGAGCCTCTTGCAACTCATGCATCAACCTCCCCATGCTTCAAAATGGTGGCAGGAGCACTTGAACTAAAGCTTGCTCAATGAGCATTAGTTTAAATGCCCCCCCCCCACCATTTTGAAGTGCGGGGATACTGATATACGAGACCCAGCAGCACTTTAATTAGAGCTCCTCTCAGAGCATTCACCTCCCCCGCCCCCCCCATTCCCCAACCTCTGGAGCTTGTGTAAAAGTGCCCCTACATTAGGAGGCACTAAATATAATGCACAGTAGCAAAAGTGCATTAATGAATGTGTAGATGTACCTAATGTGGTTTGTTTTAATTATATTTGATCAAAAATACTTCTGCTCTGGACAGTATAGAAAAAAGTATTAACAAAGAATGAAGGAATGAAAGTATGACAGGCTTTGTTTGGATCAGGTTTCTCCCCAGAGTTAAAAGAGAATTAGTGCTTCAAGGAAGACCAAATATTTGTTAGGAAAATTGAAACAGATTGTCAGAGGGCATGAGCCAGTCTTTACTTTTTATTGACAGATGCAACTTTCACTGTACCTCAGAGAGCAGAAAATAGCCTTTCATTTTCTCATAGGCTTGCCCTCTACTTAACTATTACAGCAAAAAAAATTGTCTTTTACTAAAGTTATTCCATTCACTTCACTAGGCATACTACTCCTATACTAAAGGAGTATAAACCATTCAGAAACTGAATGTTAACTTTTGATTTATATTTCAATATAATGATTTGTTACATAATATTAGAATTGTCCATTAAAAATACACCATAAATTAGGTCCTGAATGCATGGTGATCATGCAGTCAAGTCCTCAGACAAATGTCTGGCATGGTTAATTGAAATACATCTTTCCCAGAAGCATATTTTAAAATGTAGAAGTTTCATTGGTCACATACAAGACATAAGGCCCGGTGCTATTCCATCTCTCACTCCATATTAAAACCAACTACCTTAATTTAATCATAGTTCATTTTATTAAAAAAGGAAAAACCCAAACCCACCAACCAACCTCCCCCCCAACCCCCTCCCCAAACAAATTGCTGAAGTAGCATCCTTACACT